TCTCTCTCTCTCTCTCTCTCTCTCTCACTTGTTGTCTAGACTAATGACAGAATTTGACGTCATAACTAGATCTGTCTAGACTGTCCTTTTGAGAAATTGTTCTCAGGACAAAATAAAGAAAGATCTGAAAACCAAAAGGGACATTCTGACCAGTTCATTCACATACAGATAGGTCATGATGACATGTGTACATTCACAGACAATGTAAGACTTACTGTACTGAGACGTACATACACTGTAGCAGAATATTATGGATATAATAAGATTTTCTTTACTCCACTGAGACAGACATACAGAGTAGCAGAATTTTATATAATATGTGAAGTGTGCTGACAAAATGAGTTACTTCTCGGATTCGAGCCCAGTGGGAAATACAGTCGAACCTGCCATGATGGCCACCTGTATAATACGGCCACTTGTTCAAACGGCCACTTATTCCAACCCCCCCCCCCCCTTGCGTTTTTTCACTCTCTCTATATAATATATAATAATGTCAATGTGTACTGGGCACCTGTCCAACGCGACCCTGACAACATATTTTATCACACAACCCCTATCACACAAAACAACAATTTTTAACATCTGTCTCAGACAGCCACCTCTCTCATCCTCCGACGTTTTGTCATAAATTATGTATTGGCCCCTGACGTTGCGGATGAACAGTCATAAATCCAATCACCAGTCGTTGTTGTTAGATAGTCCCTCCAACTGGTCATATTGCGTAGGCCCCTCCCACTGTTGACCATAGGTAACAAAGTAACAATAAATTTTCAGCGGCTGATGAGGTAAGCGTGTGATCCCTCATAACCCAAAAGCCCGGCCCATAACTCCTACACAAATCGTAAATGAGCTGACCGGTCACTGTTGACATTAACATGTACCCAGTTTGTAACCAATGGACGTCAGAAGATATATGAACTTGTGACAGAAGCGTCGCTCGTTCTCCGAGTAGTCCGAGTGGTGGCGGTGGCGACCCATGTGTTTGTTTTTATAACGTGGCAGTCGGTCTTCCTCGTCTGACACATTTCGTTTTATTGTCAAAAGAAAGTTTGTGGTCAAATGTGACACCCAAATCCTTTCCAGATTCACAAGTAGTTCAAGTAGCCTGCCTATTGACTGCACTTCTTTGCCAATCTTCATGTAATGATGTAATCCTGTCTCATCATATCTTTTAGCTCACCAACGTACAATGTACATGACATGACATTTTGTTGAGACATTAAAATTTAATTGATAAATTGATTAAAAATATACATTTCAGGTATGATTGTATTGCCTGGATCTAACAAATCCTGTAGTTTCAGTACAGGTACCGGCAGGCCTACGTCCTGTTGTATAGAATCTACATGTAATCATGTCATCGCCATTTGTTGTCTTGTCATACAGTTTTGTGCGATAATGAAAATATCAGTATTAATAAGTTGTATTGGGTTGATCACCTTGTGTGAGCACGTTTGTGTTGATATTATATTTGTCGTTATTTTGTTGTTATCAGTTGTTATTTGTTGTTATCATTTGTTGTATCAATGTAGACTACCACAAAGAAAAGCAACTAAATTAAGACGTTTGTGTTGATGTGTGTCGTTATTTTGTTGTAATCAGTTGTTATTTCTTGTTATCCGTTGTTAAATGTTGTTATCTCGACAAAGATAAATACCTCACACAGCTCTGTATAATAAAAATAAAATTGGCAATTTAATAGCGCAAACCAGGCTCATTTTAGTCTTGCAACATGCTGAGAAAGGATGGGTAATTTTGACCTAGCAATCGCTGTTGCAGTTGCTCTTGCCACAGAAAACGAAGCTGATTTCCCAAAGAGAAACGTGCGAAATGCTCAAAAGAATGGTTTCTGCAGCGTTCAAAGTTTGGACACACAAAATTACTAGACTACGTGAATTGAGACTCGAGACATAATGAGCCACAGGATTTTCAAAACTTTCTGCGTATGGATATCGGATCGTAAAATGAGCTGTTGCTATTAACGGTAAAGCTCCGGACCGGAAGGCAAACTACACTACCAAAACGTGTGAGCCAATCTCTCCTACAGAACGTTTATCAATTACACTGCGTTACATGGCTACGTAACGGGACATTTGAGGATCTGAAGTTCGTCAGTGCTATTGTACCACAAACCAACAGCAAAATTGTGTCTGAAACTTGTGAAGCCATCATCAGCTGCCTACAAAATCATACAATAGAACACAGCTATAGCGGGACTTTTGGTTCCAGAAGAAATATCCCGCTGTAGGCGAGTTCCCGCGACAGGAATGCAAAGGGGAAATTACCGAAAAATTCCTACAGGATTACATCCCTTCCATATCAATCAAAAATGCGCTTTATTAGTCTTCCTTTTATTGTCAACTTCGTTGATTATCTCGGCCTTTAATTTTAATTCGAATGAGAGGCAATTCCTTTAATTTTTGCTGGAAGCCATCTTTTTCTCAGTTTGTTGCTTGAGCTGTCTATCGTACCGGTAGGCCTACAGTAGAACTGGTGAAGTTGATGCACGCGTACGCCTGAGCTTCAACGACCGCATTTCAATGAATCAGGAATCACACATTACACGCTCTTGTCTTCTTTTACTTTTTGGCCTAGCCTAGGGCTATGGCCTATACGCTCTTAGTTATACGGTACTGAGCGTCTAGGTTATGGCACATCACTTCATAACTTTAGATTTTGAAGTTGCTCACGTAATGTATCTCTCCGCATCATCTCTCTCTGTCGCCTGCTCCACTTCACTCATCACTGGACTGGCCAATCACAACGCGCATTATTGACTGCCTATTTGGATCCCGCCTACAGCCCCCCGCCCCCCAACCCCCTTCCCCACAGCTAGAGTTTGCTCGATCTCTCCCGCTGTATCCAAGTTCGGGCCTTTCCTTGCCCCGCTAAACCCGAGCACAGGTAATTGAGTTTGCATCGGGATTCCGGTAAGGTCCCGCTGTAGGGATGACCCCAGTAGGTGCGGTCCCGCTGTAGGGGTGCCACTATAGTCATGTTCTACTGCACTGCAAAGGTAAGAAGTTTTTTGTCAAAGATGTTTCCATTTTTTCACACATGTAATTTGTTATTAATCTTGCGACGACCATAAAACGGTTAAAAATCAAACGAAACCTTAACCCGACTTGTGCTCAACTAGACTTCGTCTGCGAAATCGTGGAACATCACTCAACATCCACCTCACGACTAGGCCAACGTATCATCTGCTCAAAGTAAAGGTGCTGTGTTCCCTTATTCAAACTTGTATATATAATACAATAAATAACAAATGCAGAAGTCATAGTATATCTTGTTGGTTGAGAAATATTGTAGGCCTACTAGATCTAGATCTAGTGTGGTAAAATTATGTAAAATCAAACATCAACATGTCAATAGTTCAAATTTATAACCTAATCAAGGTTTAATTAAAAAGAGAACAAAAAATGAAATGACGGGAAAAAGAACACTTTACAATAATGTCAAAGTTTAGTCGTCTTTAACTATAATACTATAATACAGGTATCCTATTTAGGAAAAATAAAATTGCTGCAAACGAAGAAATCACTGCATCCAATTGTCATCGTTTATTTTGACCGAATCCCTTTTCAATGTACCCATCTGTCCCTCAAAAAGTATATCATTGATAGCTTTCTTCGCGAACAGCTGTTGGTCAAGAGTCATCTTTGAGAGTTCAGCTGCCCATGTCTTTGCTTGGATAAGATTTACATCTTCGTGATCTTGGCGTAGTCGTTCAGTGGCAAGCTGCAGGAGCTCTTCTTTGGCATCATTTTTAACTGAACTTCTCGATTTCGTCCGTTTGGCAGGAGTCTGGAGAGATTCCTTCCTCAGTTGTAACTGTGGCTCTACAAACACGTTGTAGTTCTGAACGTCTGTTTTCACATCAGCCGTATCATCCTATAAACAAAACATTGTTTGTATCATTTTCAATTCATCGTGTAAAGGAGGCACTACATGTACATGTAGAAGAGTGGTGGGTTACTGCGAGAAGTTATTTCACAAAAAAAGCAAAATTATAACCTCTCGCAGTCAGCCAACACTTCTATAAAACAGTGACATTATCATTAGGTCTGTAAACAGAAAGATAACTATCTTTTTCTGCTGAGTAGGCTATTTAAAGAGAAATCTGGACTGCATTCCTTTCATTAATGAATCAATTTATTAGAGTTACTAATGCTTTTTAGAGGTGGGTGTGTCAACGGGTGTCTAAATGGAAAGATCTTTTTATCGTGACCTAATGATAATACAGTACAACAGGGATAGGTCGAACACAGAAGACTCGAAATCACGTATCCGTCGAACTGTGCTTGCGGTCCCGTTGTTGTTGGGGGGGTTTTCGTTTGTTTTTCCTGTTTATCTTTGAAAGAAAGTTACGCAAAGCTCGAACACAAACACGGAATAATCGAACTAATTAGTCGCCGTAGAGGTCTAAAGTCAATGTCATTTGAGGTGCACTTGAGATTTAATAATAATATTAATAATAATAACAATAATAATAATAATAATAATAATAATAATAATAATAATAATAATAATCTCCACAGAAACAGCTAGCTGTGCTATTTTTAGCGTGCTGCTCGACACGCCCAATGATTATAAATGCGGTCTCTGGACACGCCTATGCTTGTGTATATATACAGAGAGAGAGAGAGAGAGAGAGAGAGAGAGAGAGAGAGAGAGAGAGAGAGAGTTTTGTGAAAATGCGATGAAGACAAATAAAATATTGCCTTTATGAGGAAATGGGGGTGACAAACGTGCTCGGTATTGGAAGAAATAAGGTTTTCAGGGGCTCTTATGAGATGAAATAGTTGTGAGAGGCTGAACAAGCTAAAAGTGCCTTCAACTCAAAACCCATAATTTTGAGGCCCCCCCCCCCATCTTAAAAGAAATACATATATATTATTACACGTGTGTCGGTGCAACGTTATTTAGAAAATGCACTGTGTGAAAACTAGAGGTGAAAACCCGTTATACATTTGAAAATACCTTGTACATGGATTAACCTTCCCAGCGCCCTGTGATTTTGCACACAAAGTGTCTTTGGGTTCACAGGCACTCACTCATCCGAACAATGGAAACTCGTCGAAAAGACTACAAACGGTTTCAGTTTCAGTTTATTCGTTTAGACCACAGGCCAATTAATAAAGTTCACATTCAATGCAACAAATCATGAAAATAGATAATAAATGATAAATAATCAAAAAGAGTAGGTTGCATTGTGCATGAGAATCCCAGGGACACTTAGTGCCATTTTCTGGAACACCGTCAGCTCGAGTTAGGGGGTGCACAGAAAACCCGGGGACGCTTTGCTCTGAGATGGGGTAGTTTAGAAGAAAAAAAGAAAATAGTGGTAACATTCCTGAAGGTCCGGGGGAAAAAATCAAGGGTTTTGTTAGAGCTGTTGACAATTTACTAGTGCTGTGGTTCATGTGCACCCCCGCGGTAAAGTTAATTTTCAGGGCTTACCTCCTGAGAAGGTTCGCTGACGTCTTCAGTCGATGCCAGACGTTTTAGTGTCGGCCTACTCCGTGATTTGGCTGGGACTTCTTGGTCGTTGAGGAAGGCGAGGGCATCGAAATACCACAAAGTTGGTTCATAGACCTGGTCCGTCCCTGCACCAGATTTTCCGAGTCAAGCACTTTCTTTAATTCCTTGCGATAATTTGTTCTGTAGACATTGATCTTTTTTTTTACATCTTCTCTTGTATAGTTTTGGTACTTTTCCTGGAATTTTTTAATCAATGCTCCGTAAGCTGCATCTTTCTTTTGTCGGTTGCTGTAATCGTTACACTTCACTTTCCACAGGGCTGGTAAACTTTTGTAAACCTCGATACACTCTAATTGAAATGCCCTGTCTTCTTCCTTATCAGACACCCCAGACATGATGACGGTACGAGATCTGGAAGAAAAAAATGATATTAATATTATTGCACAATTTAATTGACGGTCGTCACACGATCAATTAACTTGTGAAAGCAAGTAGACTTGCTCAGTAGAATAGGCTATCAAACTGATTTTGTTTGACTTAATACAACTGCGCAAATCGTATCGCCCATACACGGTCAATTTAATTGTCAATTCCGAGTATTGACAATTAAATTGCACAATATAATTGATCGTGTATGACAAATAAACTGTTGTTAGAGATCAGCATGGCTGTACATTTTTCAAGATAATTAAAATTTATAAGTGTGCTACATTTCAATATCTTCCATCATAATATATCTCTACACTTTCAGGCCTAGCCTAGTGGTTATAGCCTAGTGGTTATCGGTCAGACTTGAATTATTACAAAGAGTCTTTGGGCCTTCTCTGACCGTCTAGGCCAGTGGTTTTCAAAGTGGGCGCTACCGCCCCCAGGGGGGGGGGGGCGGTGGCGAGAGTTTGGGGGGCGCTGTGGCGAAACTGGGCGATTGGGGGCGCTGGTGGGCGCTAAGGGGGCGGTGTGAAATTTTCATGACATGCAACATAAAACGTGATGAAGAGAAAAAAGCCACATAAAAAACAAAAACAAAAACAAAAATATATAGCTTAGGCATAGTTTACAATACTACATGTACTTATAACTAAAAACTTTCGTTCTCTGCCCGCAAATCCCATATAAAGAAGATTAGTCAAGACAAATCTGACAAAGATCTGGCATACTTAAAAACTCTAAAGATCAATTTTCAGAAATGAAAATCCTTTAAACCGATGTTTGCAGCCAACGTCGATCAAGCTGATGTAGGCTTACGAGCAACATATAATTTATCTCTGCTAATTACAAAGGCAGGCAAAAACCATGCTATTGGTGAGAATCTCATGCCTGCGACAAGAGAAGTGGTCTACACAGTCCCGCAACATGCCCCGGAGCCTGTGTTGAAAGTTCTCCCAATAAGTGACAATACCATTCAAAGGCGTATTGATGAGATGTCAGCAAATGTTGAGAAATCACAGTGCAAAATGCTGAAAGGACATGAGCTCAGCCTTTAACTGGATATCAGTTCATAGAGGGTGAGGAAATAATGCAAGAATTGTTATTTGCCAAAATGTTGGAAACAGATACCAAAGGCGAGTCCATTTTCAAAGTGGTCCAAGAATTTTTCGAGGAGAAACAGATCCCTCTGACCAATACAGTTGCCTGTGCAACAGATGGGGCACCGTCGATGGCAGGTCGGAAACGTGAATTTATGAACTTTTTGAAGAAATCAGTCCATGGAGTATTTACTGTTTACTGTGTCATTCACAGACATAATTTGGTGGCAAAAAAACCTGAATGAAAGTCTGCATGACACACTGGCTATTGTCATCAAGTGTGGGAACAAGATCAAAGTCCACGCTTTGAACTCGAGACTATTTCAACAGCTGCGCACAGAAAATGACGAGTATTCTCAATGCTTACTTTAGCACACTGAAGTCTGGTGGCTCTCGAAAGGAAACTGTTGAACACGATTATTGTTCTGCCTGTTTGACTCTGTGCTGAAGTTGGTTTTGTTTTTTTCAAGAAACAGACAGTGATCTCTGCAATAAACTGAAAGAACACAAGAACAACATTGCGCTCCTCACATATCTTTTTTACAAAGTTCAACCAGTTCACTTTCAGCTGCAGGGGGATGACACCAATCTGATCAAGGCTTTCGTCATTCTTGTCGAAACTGGAAATGATCCGCCGAAACATTGGCAGAAGAAAATTTCTCAGTTTCCTAGCTTGGCGGAGACACTGAAAGAAGGGCGCATTTCTGACGAGGAACTACAAATATATATAGCAACCACTTCAGAGATTTGCATGCTGATATGAAGGCAAGGTTTAGCCTCCTGATATTTTTAAACTGGAAATTCCATACTGGATACTGGACCCATTGAACACTGAAACAGATGATAACTTGCTTGTAGCAATTGAAGAAGAGCTTCTGACGATGAAATGTGACTTTGAAATCAAACCATTGTTCAAAAAGCCGTACCAGTCATTCTGGTTGAAAACTATTGTGCAAGACAAATGCCCCTCAAAGTGGGAAAAAATCAAGTTGTTCATCTCTTTTCCTGCCTCCTATCTAGTAGAAAGGGGATTCAGTGCAGTGACAAGTTTGCTGACGAAGCGTAGCGATTTGCGTCGGCTACTGACCAATCTGAAACCTGATGATGATAAGTTGGTTCCCTCTTAGCAGGTCCTTCCTTCCCATTAGGGTAGTGTCAATAACTTATTTGCGCAGGCTTACTCCGTAGTTTACCCTTACTTGATATCTCAATGTGTCTTTTCTTTTTTTTTTCTTTCTTTTCTTTTCTTCATTTTTTTAAAAAGCAAAACATTCACTTGTTTAAAACAGAGTTGCCATTGATGATGAAACTGATGATGATGTTGATGATGATGATGATGATGATGATGATGATGATGATGATGATGATGATGATGATAGATGATGATGACGATGATGGGGATAATTACAGACTAAGATCCATGCATACTTTTTCTTTCGTGTGGTTTCTCACATTTGAACAACTTAATAACGTTTTTATTTTCTGCAATGGAGATATTTGATACAAATCTCAGGCCACTACATTGCAGCATGTTGATGGGAGAAAACGTTTCATAAATATAATGTCAATCTTTTTTCAAAACAATGATCACGGGCGTTTTTATTTATGTGTTTAGTTTTTGGCGTTTTTTTTCTGTAAATGTGATAATACATGTTTTATTTTTATTGATGTTAATAACACTGGTCGTTTAGTACGATGACAACTATATGCATACAATGACAGTATTTTGCTCTCAATGCCCTTGCATAAGATTGAAGAAAAAGGTGCTTTATTTTCTCTCGTCCACGCTTAATTTAAGACTGTAAAGATGGTGATTTGTGACCCAACTAATATTCAGAACTAAATTAGTAGAATTTAGGCACGTTACTTTCTACACTGCTGTTTGAGTTCTCTCTTTATTTGTGATTGTTATATATTATGCATGTCATTATGTCAGATTGATGGTTGGGGCGGAGTAGGGGGCGCTGGAACTCGGCTGGGTGGAAAAGGGGGCGGTGGGCGAAAAAAGTTTGAAAACCACTGGTCTAGGCCTAACCCTTTGCACTCAGTTGACTTGCACGCAATCATTGACGCAATGTAGTGATGGACAGGTATCGATACCCGGTACTCGATACTTAGATACCTATAGATATCGGTATCGGTACCGATACCTGCTCTAAACATCGATACCTAAGTGTGATTTATCCCCGGGCTGCCAAAGCAAGTGACTTGGGCCTTGAGAATTTTTTGTTTATCAAAACTGATAAGTTTTCGTAGGGGGGGGGGGGGGGGGGGCAAGCGTTTTAAATGCATCTAGTGATTTTTTAACAAAAAGGGAAGTTTTTCATGAAATGTATCTAGTGATTTTGCAAAATCTTCACTGACAACCCTGATTTATCCTCATTGGTTTAATTTAAAGTTGCTAAAAATCTGGTAAATTGAATTGCCTTTTTTAGAACTCTTGTGTTTTTATTTTCCAATACTAACATTTTCTGCAAAGTTGACTTTCCTCCCATACTTCACTTAGTTGTTGTTTTTATTCTCATATTTGGGTATTTCTTTCTCTCTCTCTCTCTCTCTATTACAAATAATTTTTGTTTGAGTCTCAGCTAAATAGCCACAACGTGTCTAGACACGATTACCTTACTACTTGGAAAAGTATAGTTGTATTTTTGTCTTTACTTATTACCCCCGGCGTATGTTACCAATAGCATTAGCAAAGATAGTACATAACAAGATGGGCCACTTCTCTCTTTGAGCCAATTAAAAAAGTGTCCTCAAAATTTGGTGGCGCCCTCTTCACAAAAGCGCACTCTTTGCGAACAGAGTTACCCTACTTGAGTTTTTAAAAATCAAAGTGAAACTAGCAAGTTTTGGGATAAATTTCGGAAGAACGCTTTTAAAAAAATGGTTACACTGACAAAAAACCTCTTCCGGAGGAAAAGGAGATGGTTTTCTTCGTTTAATTTGACTTTAGAATGAAGGGCGAGAGGACATTAAAATAAAAAAAACCCTAAAACTCCGCACTGAACGTACCCGAACTGCTGATGAACAGCAGTCGATCTGCGCACGCAAGGAGGTGCTATTCCTATTCTTCTTCTGGAAAAACGAAAGAGAGCTTCAAAACAGACTGCAGCGCCATCTGAAGCAAAGAGCATACTTCCTGCGGACACTTTTTATGCTGAGTAGCCCATCTTGTCTTGTACTATCTTTGGCATTAGGTATCGAGGTATCGGTATCGATACCTTGAAAAAGTACTAGGTATCGACATCGATACCTAAATTGTGGTATCGGCCCATCACTAACGCAATGATTGCTGGCCGATTGCCAGTGATTGCGCTTGATGAACATGACTCAGTCTGCGCAGAGAGTAGCCTAGAGTCTCTGGTCTGCGCCAGAATCAGAGAACCAACCAAACGGGCTTGTTTAGTCACGTGATAGAGAACGCCAATGCGCAGTAGCCCAGCCTAGCCTACTGTTGATTGTTGATGACGCGAATCAGCTGACAAAATAGCTAGAGGCAAGGTTACTCATAAAGAAAGATAGATCTAAAACATACAAACAGCGAGACGCAAACGTATTCATTTGGTCTGTCGTTCAACGCTCAACCGCAAATGTAAGTAGATTAAGTTTGGACAATTATATTGCGAATTATACATTCTTTTCACTCATTTCTTATGTTTTGCTTCCTGTCTACTTGGCGAAATCAGAAAAGATCATTTCGCCTTCGCTGCAGACTCGGCCATCACCACCCGCAGCCTCTAGGCCTATGTCCACGGCTGGGTCTGGCTGGTCTTGTCTTTCGATAGCCTCTCTAGAATCTACTGAACTACATCCCACTATGATTTTGTCTGTCACACCATAACGAAGACGATACTGATACACTGACAGTCATTATAATTTTATAATTTAGATCAGTGGTGATGCCACCTCTATTTAGTGCAGGCGAGTCTTATGGCTTATGGCTATTCTCACCCGGTGCGCGTTCACCAAATTTTGCGTTCACCCTAAACCACAGAATTCTACACTGTGATAACAGAAAAATTGTAGAATTCTGTGCCGTGAACAAACGTTCCATTACAATTGTAGCCTACTAAAAGCGTACAATTTTGTCTGTGGGCAGTGGAGAGAGAGAGAGAAAGAGAGAGAGGAGTAGCGCGAGAATTTCCGGGCAAAACAAAATGGCGACCCGCGTAGTTCGGCTCGATTCGAAAAGTTAAATAGCCGTAGCATCTTTGTAGACAACCAAATTAATTTACTTTTTTGTGTTTTAACATCATTTTTTAACTTTGTTTTGGTCGATTTGATCGTCCACACCGATAGACAGTATTCAGAAAGAGACAGAGAGAGGGAGAAGAGGGGAGGAGTTGATCTTGCGAGAACTTCCGGGCGGGTGAGAATAGCCACTTTCATAATGAAAAGTAGCGTCAAATGTCACCGAGTGACGCGGTGGCAATTGACAAAAATTGACTTTTTGTCAATTGCCACCGAGTAAAGCTGTGTCAAGTCTGAAAACAACACTATCTTTAGCATTATACATAATGTGTGTCTAACTCTAACGGGTCAATTTGTTCTCAACTAATTTCATTGGACAAGGATCTAGAATCTAGTCTAGAACTACGGTACGGTACCAACTTGGCGTGTTTTCAATGAGACGTAGGCCTAGATCTAGGCTAGCCTTAGCCTACACTTTGGTGTAGAACCAACACAGGCAATTCTAGAAGTAGAAGGTCACAAACGCACACAAACTCGAGCAGAAATTCACGTTATATCGGGGGACGGGGGTCAGGAACAGACACACACACACACACACACACACACACACACACACACACACACACACACACACACAGAGGGACAGAGAGGCGAATGCACAACACCGCGAGCACTCGAGCACTCAAGCACAATTAGCTAGATATCTAGATCTACCCACCAAGACAAAAGAGGTCCAATTTACTTGGTGGCAATTGACAAAAAGTCAATTTTTGTCAATTGCCACGGAGTCACTCGGTGGCAATTGACACGGTGGAACGTTTTTTCTGTTTACGTAGACTAGAGTAAAGCGGGGTCTCAAGGCTAATTACATTAGGAGTGTTGAATTTGAATTCTACGAATTCGAAGTGGAGAGGGATTCCGTTTACGAAGTGATTATTCGGACTCGAGTCCGAATATGAAAAAATGTTATTCGGACTCTGATTCTTGTCCAGCATGACATCACTTCCTACTTCCTGTGACTCGTGAATCCGGCTTCCTGTCCTGCCTCACTCACTCGTGACTCGCCTCAGGCTGGGTAGAGACCCGGATCACTTTGGGCAAAAAGGCTTTTTGTGCAGGAGCCGAGTTTTAATCTTATGATGAATTTGAGGCCGGCCTGAAAAGTTATAGCGCTTTTAATAAATGTTTATTTGTCAAGAGGTCATCAGAAGCAAGTAAAGATGGCTCGTTAGCGTGTGTCGGGGTCGGATGGGCAGCCTGCACACGTGTGGCTGTGTGCGTGTCGGGGAGGGTGGTGGGGGGGGGCACTATCGGTCCGGGCGTTGAACGTCGCATATGCGCGTCAGTCTTTTTCCCCCCGGCAACTGATCATTATTACAATAATAAGCTAGTCTTGACGTAGATCTACGTAATGAATTGTGCGCTGGTCTATGGAATCAAAAGTTGCCGTATGCTCAGCTCTACACAGCAACACAACTTTTTCTTGGTAAACAATCGATATGACACAGGCTTGTGTATTTGAACGAATCGGTCCTTTTTTTTTTTTTTTTACACAGCTCATAATATGCAGGTGCCAGGTGGTCTGCTGATCTTCAGTTTTACCTTTTCCTACAACAAAGAAAATGGGAAACGTGGGGGGGGGGGGAGGGCGTATCAATGAGGCGGCGAGCATTGGATCGGCAGATAAGGTGTGGGGGAAACTAAAAAATGGCGGAAAATTGGAAGCACTGAACGTTAGATCTATAGAACGAAGACACTTTCTTTTTTTCCGGACCCGAGTCCGAATAACATTTTTTTCATATTCGGACTCGAGTCCGAATAAGAATTTTTTTTATTCGGACTCGAGTCCGAATATGAAAAAATGTTATTCGGACTCGAGTCCGAATAACGACGGCCTTCCGTGTACGAGCGACCACTAAAAAAACATAGAATAGAGGATTAGGGGTAGATTTCTAGGGTTGGGTTATGGTTAGGTATTGTTTGTTGGGTGGTCGCTCATTACGGAAGTCTTCCCTCGAAGTGTATCTCTGACGAGGAAGACTGACAAATCGAGACTAAAATGACAATTATAGGTCAGACAAGTCAAGGAAGATTGTCAGAGTAAAACAAATGACTGAAATAGGTTGCTACTGCTGGACGAACAAGTGACACTTCTGACGCCAATTTCATGTTAAAATGCATTGTTACAGAGTGAGCTAATATGAAATGAAAAGAAAAGGGGCCACTAATCGCTATGACTATGGCTAATCTCATATATAATTTATGATTTAGCAGAATGTAGATAAAAATTGTCATCTAAAAAAGGCCACCTCTATTCTCATCCGGGGTGAGAGGGCGAGCCTTTGGGATATTCTCACCCGCTGTGCGTTTACCACTTAGTGCATTGGCTCAGGGTGAGAGGGCGAGCCTTTTGACAATTCTCACTGGGTGTGCGTTCACCGTGATACCAGTGTAAACAAATGTTCCAGCACTCTTGTGTTGAAAGCGTGCAAAATTTTGTCCCTAGGCAGTGAGTGAATGAGGGGGGGGTGGAGAAAAAGATAGCCTAGCCTAGGGAGAGAGGGAGGAGCAGCGAGAACGTCAGGGTAAAACAAAATGGCGACTCGTAGTTCGGCTCGATTTGAAAAGTGATAACTGCAGTATCTTTGTACATGGCCAAATTTGTTTACTTTTGGCTATAACATCTTTTTTTTTTCGTTGTTTTTGTCAATTTGGTCATCCACACCGATAGACTATTCAGAAATGAGGAAAAACAGGTTTTGTTTAACACCGGGTGAGAATAGCCAATGCAAGCAAGTCTCACCAGGAGTGAGAGGTCGACTTATTTTTATTCTCACCTGGGGTGAGAATAGCTACTTCCTGTAAAAATAAACAGGTATTTTTGCTTTCCCTCCCGTCTAACACTTAACTACTAGATGTCCGTTTTCTACTACATATTGATGCGCTGAACGCAAATATATTGGATTGACTTTGTCGCAAATTAGTAGTTTTAAAAATATATGATGGTTTTTAATCGAACTTTATCACTCTAACTCTAAGCCTAAGTGCGTTGTAATTTCCTGGCTTTTAGACCAATTGGTGGGGGGGGGGGGGAGGGGGGGGGTTCCCTGTTTTGACCCATAATTTGATGTTTTGGAGAGTTAAGTTTTAAATTTTCTTCGAAATAATTGATTTGCGACAGTTTTAGTGGCTATATGTGTGATCTTCTGCAAAAAATACTGTAGTTTGACCCCCAAAGCAATGCATCGGTGTGATGGAGTAAAAGTAAAAATTTGCCAAAAGTACAAAACATGCTGTATACTATTTTGTGAGGCATCGTAGTAGAATCAAGCACTGGTCAAAGTAATGAAATAGGGGAAACGCATTTTTCCATGTTTTTTACTTTTATCAATTTTTTTGTTTTTTGGTTCAACAATTTTTATGCCCTCACAAGACGTATTTCCATATGAATTTTACTGGAAAACAGATTAAAGGCACAGAATGTGTAAATTTCCAGTTTTCAAGGACTCTCAAGCTATTAAAATTACCTAACTTTGGCGGCCATTTTCTCACTTATAAATTTTACCTCTGTAATGAGGCAACCCCACCTACTTCAATTACAAATATCTCAACTTCCATTCAAAATAGATGAGTATTTTTTTCATGGAAAAGAAAGCATGAATAAGCTTTCAGATTATACTAACTCCACATGCCCAAAAATTGACAAGCGCCTGATTCAACCGCTCGTGACATATTTGTGATTTCTACTCAATTTTCACCTACGATGTCTCTCCAACAGATGCAGATCTTTGTGAAAACACTTACTGGCAAGACAATCACCCTTGAGGTGGAACCATCGGACACTATTGAGAATGTGAAGGCCAAGATACAGGACAAAGAAGGGATCCCCCCTGACCAGCAGCGTCTGATCTTTGCTGGCAAGCAGCTGGAAGATGGCCGCACTCTGTCAGACTACAATATCCAGAAAGAGTCCACCCTTCATCTTGTGCTTCGTCTCCGAGGAGGCATGCAGATTTTTGTGAAGACCCTGACAGGGAAGACCATCACACTTGAAGTAGAGCCCTCAGACACCATTGAGAATGTGAAGGCCAAGATTCAGGACAAAGAAGGTATTACCTTGTATGGGATTTTCGACTCAAGTTAGTTGAAAATGAAATAAAAAATTTTTTGTAATTAGTTACATAAAAACCAAGAATGTTTGTGTATGAAACTATTGGGCCATCCACATGATAGATTTGGTGGGAGCTGGTTAAACACTACGGTCAAACTTACCTTCTTACGGTCAGTTGTACCCCTGGCTACTTCCCTCCCTTTGTGCTTTTTGTATTCCAATGACAATGTCCAAGTTGTCCACCTGTCTAAGCAAAACACTTTTCTCTTCAACAATGGGTGGCCGGCCATCTTGGTGAGTATCAATTTATTTTGAATTCTTTCAAGCTATCTAGATTCAAATTTGAACATTTCTAAGATCATATATGAGCCACAAAAAAATGTTACTATCTGTTGTCATTTACCCATAACATGTTTCCAATGTGCTGATTAAATCTGGTGGTAAGTTGTGGATTCTTTCCCTTTCTTTCTATGTTTTTTATTTCCTCATCTGAGAAATTTCTTTATCATGCATATTATGAATTTATGTTTTTTCTGCACTATTTCGTACCTCTGTCCTAGTGTTCTTGTAATGCATGTTTCATTTTATTTTTCTCTTCCAGGAATCCCCCCTGACCAGCAGCGTCTGATCTTTGCTGGCAAGCAGCTGGAAGATGGCCGCACTCTGTCAGACTACAATATCCAGAAAGAGTCCACCCTTCATCTTGTGCTTCGTCTCCGAGGAGGCATGCAGATTTTTGTGAAGACCCTGACAGGGAAGACCATCACCCTTGAAGTAGAGCCCTCAGATACCATTGAGAATGTGAAGGCCAAGATTCAAGACAAAGAAGGTAATTTGATACAGATATGTGGGATTTTGTCCTATGTGGATTTGTTGACGTAAGTTCGCATTTTGTTTTGTTAGCAAAATATTATTTTTGAACAGAGACAGTAGATTATTTCATTGAATTCTTAACACATTACACCCTAACTCGCCCAGGATCGCCCGGGAATTCCCTTACGTGCTCCACCCTAACTCGCCCGGAACCGACCGCGCCGACCGAGCGTCTTTAGAAACGAAATCTTGCCTTGGCGAGACACTGGGGCTGAGATTTTGATTTGCATAGTTGTTGCAAAAAGTTTCTTCTTTCGTTTGATACCGAAACTAAATTTTTCGGGGCAGTAGTTTTAGTATTAGTGCCGAACGAAGTGCGATAGCGTTACCGACACTTCGAAAGTGTCTCGGCTTGTTGAAAACCGACACAATTGAGTTAGAAAAAGGAAATAACGATGGATTTTAGCAAAAACAAGCATATGGCAAATCAGATGACTCAGATTTTGATGAAAATGTTGTAGCAAGAGTTTGGGGCGATTCGGATTGATCAGATGTGGAAAATCTAGAATTTAGATCTAGGGCCCGACCGCGAGGCTGAGAGTTAGAGTGACGGGTCGGACATCCCGATTGAACTAAAGTTTGAACATTTCCAACGGTTTGCGCAGACATAAAGTTATATTTTTCTGAAACTACGTTCATTTTGCGTTTTAGCTTTTATTTTTTCAGGATTTTTGGAATTTGTTTAGTATTTTTTTAATGTGTTTTTTAAAGGCTCGTATTCACGGGAGGTGGGTTCTTTCCCCTTGCTTAGGATCTAGGAATGGACTTCCTGTCCAGGCCCTTAGGGTGTAATGTGTTAACTTTCTGATCAATATTTCTGGAAATGAATAAGAGCTGATTGAATTTGTTGATATTAAGTAAATGTACAATCAGCAATAATATGTTAATAAAATCCTAAGACTCAAATTGTTATTTTCTTAAATTTTCCTGTTGTGCATGCCAAAATCTTGAACCACGAAATTCTCAAAATTGACTTTTAAATTGAGTTCTTGACTTGTCAGTGCTTCCACTCTTCCGTATTTTTACGGAAATCCGTACTTTCTGCCAGTTCCATTCTTGTTCCTCCTTCATTATCAATTCCCTCTGTAGAAAGCTGCGACAGCGTAGGACTACCGAAATTCCGTAGCAAAAGATCCGCAGTCTCCTTCGTATCGTCTTGTATAAGTTACGGATATTTACGGTAATTCTCTCGGCAATAAGTTTTAATGTTATAGAAACCTGCCAGATTGCGCATTTCCTGCAATCGGCCATTATTCCGCTATGCCCCATGCATTAATTGCGAGCTTGTCAGCAGTACATTTTTACCTGTGGATTGATCAAAATCTGGCGGACTTTTTGTGCCAATTTCCTCCTTTCTATCTTTCAATGATTCCGTCTTGTCTATCTTTGGATTGTTGCCGTGACTGGAAAATCTGCGCATTGATCAAGTAAATTGACTTGTGGTCTTAGACAAAAAATTACTGTCTGAAGCTTTTTTACAAAGTTTTCTAGATCTAGAGAAATGATCAATAAGAAGATTCTACGGCATGGGAACGCCATCATAAGTGCCGCGATGAAAGAAATTGATGCTAAAACCAACCTAAAACTACTAAAGTCAAGAATAATTCGAAGTGGTGTTCCGAGGTTGTGACATGCAACATTCAGTCATTGAAATTTAAGGAAAATTAGGGTATACGGCGGGTAACTGTATTGTGAAGGTACATTATATCTATTTATTATTCCCAGGTTTGCCTTCTATCAATAATGCGATGACAAATTAATTGAATTATAATAGCAATGGAAGGGGAAACCAGCTTTTAAACATTGCCTTCAATGGAAATATATTATGCAGATCTTGGTGAAAAAAATCAAACAACACAAAATGTTGATGAAAAAATAGATGTTATGGTTTGCGGGCAATCTCTTCAAACAGGCTCCCAAATGCCATTTTCAATCCTCTAAAAGCACTAAATTTCAATTTCTTCGGGGACGAACTGAATCCCCTCCATGACTCTGTCCCTGAACCCTGCTGGGGGGCCTCTGTGGCCCCCAGACCCCCTGCAGAGAATTTTCCTTACTTTTCAGCTTCAGCTGGTGGAAGCACTGCTTATTCAATTTGTAAAGGAGGACTGTGATAATAGTGTCTGTCACTTTGGGCTCGAGTACCTCTTTCTCTTCTTCATAACTTGTCATTGCTCGTGTTTATGAGGAAAAAAGTGAAGGTTAGAAGGATACTGTCATACTGCTCTTTATTATTTTGCTGTGCCAATGGGTTTTTTATTTTTTTTTTTACTTCTCCAGGCATCCCCCCTGATCAGCAGCGTCTGATCTTTGCTGGCAAGCAGCTGGAAGATGGCCGCACTCTGTCAGACTACAATATCCAGAAAGAGTCCACCCTTCATCTTGTGCTTCGTCTCCGAGGAGGCATGCAGATTTTTGTGAAGACCCTGACAGGGAAGACCATCACACTTGAAGTAGAGCCTTCAGATACTATTGAGAATGTGAAAGCCAAGATTCAAGACAAGGAAGGTATTGCAGATATGTGGGATTTTCTTGTATTGTTGTGTTGGCATAAGTTACAGCGTTTGATTTTATAAGTAAATAAGAGAATTTTAAAACAAAACGGATAGTAATTTCCTTGATTGGTTTGCTTTCTGATCAGTATATTTAGTTATTTATGGGAGCCACTGGAAGCAGATGTACAATCTGGTACGATCTGTTGTAAAAATCTTGCCTACAAACATGTTATGTTCTTTTAACTTTTCCTATTGTGCATGCCGGTATCTTAGACTGCAAAGATATCTGGATTGCAATTTAAATTTAAGTTTTCAAAATTATTAGATGTCTGATTTGGGGCTGTTATATAAAATGCATGTAGCCTTGAGCTATTTCCTTTTCTGCTTCTTCCAAATATCATTGCACCTGCCTGAGAAACAAATGAAGGTAAGAAGAGTACTCTCACATTGCCCTTCTCTTATTATATTGCTGCATGTTTTTTGTTGGGTTTTTTTTTGTATTCAAAACTTTCTGTAGCTTATTGACAGACCATAATTCTATTTTTTTCCATAGGAATCCCCCCTGACCAGCAGCGTCTGATCTTTGCTGGCAAGCAGCTGGAAGATGGCCGCACTCTGTCAGACTACAATATCCAGAAAGAGTCCACCCTTCATCTTGTGCTTCGTCTCCGAGGAGGCATGCAGATTTTTGTGAAGACCCTGACAGGGAAGACCATCACACTTGAAGTAGAGCCCTCAGACACCATTGAGAATGTGAAGGCCAAGATTCAGGACAAAGAAGGTATTACCATGTGTGGGATTTTGTCTTATATTTTTGTGTTGGCATAAATTAGATTGCTTGTTTTTTTCAGTGAGCAAGATAATTTATTTGTAAAAGATTGCCGGCTATTTCTCAAAATGAATGTTTAGCTTTCTGATCAATATTTCTAGAATTGATTTGGGGCTGATGGAAGCAGCTTAAAGAAAATGGCAGCGGTTGGCTCTTGCGGTAATCTTGGACACAAACATGTTACTCTCTTTAACACATTACACCCTAAGGGTCTTGACGGGAAGTCTACCACTAGATCCTAAGCAAGGGGAAGGAACCCACCTCCTGTGAATACACGCATTTAATAAACATATTTAAAAAATACTAAACAAATTCCCCAAATCCTGAAGAAAAAAAAATTCGGAAAGAGAAATGTATGTAGTTTCAGAAAAATATAGAAATGTTCCATCTTTAGTTCAGTCTGGGTGTCTGAACTGTCACTCTCATTCTCAGCCTGGCGGTTGAGCCGTAGATCTAAATTCTACATTTGATTAATCTGAATCTCCCCAAACTCTTGCTACAGCGTTTTCATCAATATCTTATTCATCTGATTTGTCATTTGCTTGTACTTGCTCAAATCCATCGTTATATCCTTTTTCAGACTCAATTGTGTCACTTTTCAACAAATCGAGACACCTTCGAAGTGTCAGAAAAGCGATCACACTTCGATCGGCTCTAATAGTAAAACTACAAATCCGAAAAATTTCGTTTCGATATCAAAACGGAAGGAGAAACATTCTGTAGTAACTATGTAAAACAAAATCTCGGCCCCAGTCTCGTTAAGGCGAGACTTCGTTTCTAAAGACGCTTGGTCGGAGCGGGCAAGTTAGGGTGTAATGTGTTAACTATTCATACACTGCATGCCAATCTTAAATTTATGATTTATATTCTGAGTAAGCTTGTGATGGTGACTTGGGTTTTATTTTTTTATAGTTTAATTCTTCCATTTTCATGTCTTCATCCTCTGAAGATATTATTGTTATAAATGTTACTGACAAGAATTATAGTTGGGATGGATAGTCACCTCATGGAACTCTTCACACATTATGTTTGTACTCAATATTTTGGGTTTTTCAAAGTCAAGAGGTTACGGTTTTCGCCTCTCATTCAGTAGGTCCAGATTTTCAAGCTGGACAATGACTGAACATTTTCTTTATAATTTTCTCCTTTCACCTTCTTTCCTGCTGTCTAACAATGTTCTGAATTCTGCTTTCATCTCCACTTTCTGCCCCCATCCAGTCTGTGGGAGAGCCACTGGGAAAACCAGAAAAATAATAAATTATATGAAATTAAACCCAAACTAGAACAGCGAAATCCTTCGTATCTCTCCAGAAGAGACGGAGTCATTTTTACTCGATTGCGCATCGGACACACGGCCCTGACCCACAAATACCTCCTACAGGGAGATGAGAAGCCGTTCTGTGTCGGATGCGACACAGATTTTACCATTAGACACATTTTAACAGAATGTTTAGACTTTGGAGAGATCCGAAGGAAATATTATAAATGCAAGAAATTGCAGGATATTTTTTCCGTCGTTGTTCCCAGCAGAATTTTAAATTTTATAAAGGCCATTGGCCTTTATGGCGAGTTGTAGAGTGAATTTGATATTATTAAAAATTTTTATTGTTACTTAAAAGTTGTTTTAGATCACAAATGTATTTACACCGAATTTGAATATTTTAACTTTTTAGCATTTTAAAGTAAATTAGTTAGCCAGTCGTGAAGTGAACTTTCGCAGAGGTGAACAACTTGTGTTTCGCGCGCTCATATGACCTTAGCAGTTGCGAGCGCCGTAAAACCTTGTACTATACATACATGCCCCCATCCCATCACCTCCTTCGCCCACTTATCTGGACTCTTGACTCTTTCTGCTGCTACTCCTTGGCTCCTTATTGTCTTTCAGCCATACCCCTTATCTTATGGTAGGTGAGATCTAACACCTAGACTTCTCAGATAAGGGCGAAAAATCCCGGAGGTTCCTTGTGCAAGTTGCACACATTAAAGTTTAAGATTCCATGGTGTTCCAAAATCAAGAGTAGGCTTCAGTCGCCACCCCTGCTAAATTCAAAATTAAATCCTTCCAAAATAAAAATGTTTTATGTGTCGCGTGCGCTCATGACCTTAAAGGCAATATATTATACACAATTTGTCACTATTTCTTATTTCTGTTCTATTCTCATACATCTGGGTTTGTTTGTTTTTTCTCTGTCAGGCATCCCCCCTGACCAACAACGTCTGATCTTTGCTGGCAAGCAGCTGGAAGATGGCCGCACTCTGTCCGACTACAATATCCAGAAAGAGTCCACCCTTCATCTTGTGCTTCGTCTCCGAGGAGGCATGCAGATTTTTGTGAAGACCCTGACAGGGAAGACCATCACACTTGAAGTAGAGCCCTCAGACACCATTGAGAATGTGAAGGCCAAGATTCAAGACAAAGAAGGTATTGCAGATATGTGGGATTTTGTCTTATATTGTGTTACCTTATTGTTGAATAGCTGTTTAGATGTATCGAGCCCAAAATTTTGAATGTCTTTTTATTGTAGTTCCTTAATTTGCGGTATTGATTGAATGTGCTCAAGTTATATTTTGTGGAAATTCAAATTCTATTTTTTGAAAAGAGCAATAAAAGATGCATAGTTTTGATAGTTTTAAAAGTCCCCCCCTTGAAAGATGTTGGTTTCTGAGCTTAGAACAGCTTGCCAATGAATAGTGCTGGTTTGTATTGTTTCTTGTCAAGGTTTCCTTATCTTTTGTTTTAGGATACCTTCTTGTGAAGCGAAAAGACGTTGGGCTACTAGTAGGTCACCAAAAAGAAAGAAGCTTTTCATATCTTAACTACTTTCGCATTTCAGAAATCTATATTTCCGGTTAATAAAACAATTCATCTAAAGCTTTGTACAAACATTATATGGTGTTATTATATCTTCATCTTGAAAAAAAAAGGGGGGGGAAATTAGACTAGGGCTCAGTGAGTTGACTTTGATAAGCTTGTGGTGTGAACATATGGACTTTCTTTCTTTGTAGATGTATTCCTCTATCTTTTCATTCTCAAAAGGTATTATTTTTAATGTTTCTGACAAAGGAGTGTTGGATGGGGTGGATAGATTTTTATGTAACTGTTGACACATTATGATTTCACATATTTTTTTCCGTATTTCTTCTTTCTGTTCTATTCTCGTATGTTGTTTTTTTTTTTCTCTTCCAGGAATCCCCCCTGACCAGCAGCGTCTGATCTTTGCTGGCAAGCAGCTGGAAGATGGCCGCACTCTGTCAGACTACAATATCCAGAAAGAGTCCACCCTTCATCTTGTGCTTCGTCTCCGAGGAGGCATGCAGATTTTTGTGAAGACCCTGACAGGGAAGACCATCACACTTGAAGTAGAGCCCTCAGACACCATTGAGAATGTGAAGGCCAAGATCCAAGACAAGGAAGGTATGAACTGGTGTTTATTTGGGTTGTTTTTGTTTTTGGGGGGATTTTTTTGTTTTTTAACTTCATTATTTTACTATGACATTGTTTGGCTGCAGTATCTTGCGATCAGTGCTAGGTGTAGGCTATTAGTGAGGGGAATTACGAGATGAAATCTCTTCCCAGAGGTTCACTGTGAGTATGTTGGCTACAACGGAAAAATTTGACGGAAGATATCTGGTTCTTTTTTAACACATTACACCGTAACGGTCTGAACGGGAAGTCTATTCCCAGATCCTAAGCAAGGGGAAGGAACCTACCTCCCTAGTATACAAGCGTTTAAAAAACACGTTTTAAAAATACCTAACAAATTCAAAAATCCTGAAAAAATTAACATTTGAAAGAGAAATGAATGTAGTTGTCAGAAAAGTATAGAGAATCCTGTTATAATGAGAATGAGGGGGCCGGTGCGAAATGTCCGTTATAGCAGGATTCTCGTTATAAGGGATCCAGTAATAAAATATAGGGACATAATAAAAGAGGCCTAATCTATAAGTTTGGTGTATGTTATTTCTTTTTATCTCCCCTGATGATGATTTTGTTCAACATGACCTCTAGGTCTTATATAGCCCTACTTGATCAAACATCGAATCACATTGGGTACATATCACACCCTGCTCACGCCACACAATCGCTTCATCCATCATTGGAGAAATGAGAGGCATGGTAGGCCTAGGAGAATGGGCTGGCCCATCACGTTATGCGTTCTGCTTGTCTGCACATGCCACACACTCCTCCTCTCATTCGCCCCGGCCTTCACTGTTGGCACACGCGGACTCTCCCATTCTTTGTTTCGCTAGATCAACAACATGTTTCTCAACTGGCAAGGTTTTACATACATATGCACTGTTCACAGCAGCAGCAATACTCTGCTATAACCGCTCGCTTGTTTGTCAGATTGCGCTATAGCGGTATTTATTTACTAAGATAAAGAAGGGAAAAAAACGGGATTTAGAATAGTGTCTTTATAACAGACTTCTCATTATTTCCGGACTCGTTATAAGTGAACTCCACTGTATAACTTTGTGTATGCACATACTGTTGAAAATGTTCTTACTTAAGTTCAGTCGGGGTGTCCGACCCATCACTCTCACTCTCAGCCTTACGGTCGGGCCCTGGATCTGAATTCTACAAGTCTAGAGACACCTTCAAAAGTCGGAAACGCGATCGCACTTCGATCCACTCTAATACACTAAAACTACTGACCCGAAAAATTTCGTTTTGGTATCAAAGGGAAGAAGAAACATTTTACGATAACCATGTAAAACAAAGTCTCAGCCCCAGAGTCCAGAGTCTCGTCAAGGCGAGACTTCGTTTCTAAAGACGCGGGCGAGTTAGGGTGTAATGTGTTAACCGAATTTTAACAAACAAAAAGACCCTGTTGTGAAACCAAAGCCTCACTCGTCTCCTTACAAAATAAAACAATAAAAACTAAGTTGTCCTCAGAAGCAACGAGACATGATAAAATTATTAAACTGTAACAGATAAACTATAGTTGAAGGTTTGAATATATTGGCAGTCTTTGTTCCTGGGCATTTCCTTATTTTCTGATCAGGCAGTTTTGACTGAACAAGATGGACTAGGCTTTACTGTTACAAATCTTGGTGCTATTATGAGGCCGGGTTGTATTAAGGTGTGGCTACCACTGGTGGCCATGAGTGATGCTTTCCTCATAGTGACTCACACAGTAGCCCTAGGAAAGTTGTGATTCCAAGCTAAGCAATTTATGATTACGCATAGCTGTCATTTTAGATCTTTATAATGGATACTGTGTGAAACATCAACAATTTGTGCAATAAATATCGGGTATGTTGTGTTCGATGTACTAACAGAAAATGTATAGGTTTGGGCCTTTTTTTTTGGGGGGGGGTTGTGTGGTGTTTCTTTATTTTAAGTCCTTTGAAAAAAAAATTGACAAATCAAATAACCATAATTTTTACTCTATGGAATTCAGTAACCTGAAAATTTCTTTTGTTCCAGGAATCCCCCCTGACCAGCAGCGTCTGATTTTTGCTGGCAAGCAGCTGGAAGATGGCCGCACTCTGTCAGACTACAATATCCAGAAAGAGTCCACCCTTCATCTTGTGCTTCGTCTCCGGGGAGGCATCTAAATTTCATGCAAACCCTTTTCTTGTGTAGAGAAAACTCCCCTAGTGGTGAAAATTCCATTTTATCGTTTGGTTTCCTTCAAGCAACATTTTAAAATTTGTGAAAACTTTTATTTGGTTGCATGGTTGCAGTCTTTTTTATGATTAAAGTGCAAGCAATGAAAATTGCCTTTTAACAAATATTTTGAGTGTTGCTGTCCTTTGTTTTGTCCTGGACACCTGGAGTGGATGAGTGTAAAGGAACTTGAATTTACATGTAAAGACACGGCTATTATATTCTTTACAAGTTTCTCATGGCAGAATTTGAACAGGGCCCTGCTGAGTGTGAATGGTTGATGAGCACTTCTTTCAAATGGAACATCTATCATCCTTATCTCTCCTCCTCGTTTTCTTTGAGTGTAACTCTCTATCATCCTCAAATTTTCGGCACATTTAATTACCTTATTGTGTTGCAAGTGTGGTAAAACTCTCGCAAAAACTAAACTTAAAATTTAAATCAGATGAGTTTTTGACAAAGGGGTTTCTTGTTTTGTCCAGTCTGAAAGAGCTGGTCTGTCATGGTTTGTTCATTGGGTTTTCTTTGTTCTTTGTGGAGGGGGGGGGGGGTGGAGAAGGGTCGTCAGGTCATTTATCACAGCAAAAGTTTTGAGGATTGCTTAGTGAACAGAAAGGAACAAGCCAAACAATGGGTCATATAACTACTGAGTTTAAAATCTAAACACACCCATTCAAATCTTTGTTATGATGACCTCCCAAAGACAAATGTCACTGGTCACTAATACATGCACACAGTAATAGCTGGGTCTTGTTTTGCAATGTGAAATCTGGTGTTGCACGCTCTACGAGACAGACATAAGTGGGTGGTTGGCGGGTGCTCTGTTGTGGTTTGCTTCTTCGTTCCTATCAAACATCTCTCTGTATCTCTCCTCCTTTTTTGTGTTTGTTACTCTTGTAACACCTCTAATCTTCTGCTCTTAAATGACCTTTTTGTGGTGCAAGTGTCGTAAAACTTTTACTAAAACTAAGACAGACGTAATACTAATAGTCTGTAATGTCAGGTTTTAAAGGCTAGGGCCTCTGGAGCTGAATATTTAGGTGATTTTATTAACGAGCCGACTTTAACTAAACTTTTATCTTCAAACACAGCTTTTTGCAGGAGGAAGTGCTGCTTAACATTGCCCATGTATTCATACTCTGGGCACGGACAAACAATACAGGAAACTGACAATAAAAGTCGGTGATTGTGAGCGAGAACTTGAACCTGGATTGAATCAGAAGCTTGCCTTCAATCAGTTCAAATGTCAGTAAGAGGGAGCGTACAGATTTAAAATGTAATCAAAGGGAGAGTGCTGACAATCTTCAGCTCTTGGAAATTGTAGGCCTATTGACATTCATATATATTTTTAAGATCTACACTGCATTGGCACACGTTTTTATGGTGGATGATACAGTGAGATCTGCTGATCTCTGGCGTGAAACAATGTCGCCGACACGGTAGTGGCTGTAAAACCCATTAAACTGGACTTCATGTGTAGTACGTTGGTATAATAGAGGGGCATTAGGCATTTGTGGGGAACACAAAAGCGGCAGATTTCTGTCACCTAACCACTAGGCGCCGTAAGTTAAAGCAGAGAGTGTCTGGTAATAGGAATCCATCTAATTCAACTATACATTTTCTACTAGCACTCAGAGACACAGCCTACTCTCTACGCCGATCTGCAGGATCGGTGGCAGTTTATTTTAGATTCTATCTATATAGGAAATAAAATTTTATTCCTACTCACTGAAAGTGAAAGCCGCTGCTGGGTGCAAAGGATTGCCTTGTCAGTGGGCCGTCACCGGATGTGTGACGTCATCATAGGGCTGGACTGGGGACCTCTTCAACTGACCTTTATCACAAGGAAACGTCGTACACAAAATCTGATTTAATATTTGAAATCAGCGATCCAAACATTGCTGGCTCACTCACCAGGATTCGAGTTTGTGTAGTATTTTTTAAAATCCAGATTGTAGTTTTTATATTGAGTTGAGAATAATAATAATAAATAATTATATATATATATATAACATTTATATAGCGCATTTCCAAAAAAGGAGCTCAATGTGCTTTACACTGGAATACCCATTTTCAAAACCTTTCTTACAACATGTACTTCCTTTCTTCTCATGCAATATTATATATGCACACAAACACACTCACACCACACACACACACACCACACACACACACATACACACACGCACGGACCATTTTCATCCAGACATAGGCACAGAAACACTATAATAAAATATAAAAAATAATGCTTAAAGTTAAAGCTTATGAAGGATAGGTCTGTAGGAACAGAAAGTGTTTAAGATGTCTTTCGAAGCTATCGAGTGTTCTTGTTTGTCTTAGTTCCATGGGTAATCTGTTCCACATAAATGGACCAAGATATGAGTATGAGAAAGATCTCTCTCCATATGATTCGTATGATTTTACGGGTGTCACAAGTAGGGTGTTATCGTTTGATGATCTTAGGTTTCTCCCTGGCTTATACTATTAAGTTCTTTGTAGATAAAAAGGAGCAGTTTTATTTACACATTTGAAACACATGACACAGATTTTAAATATTATTCTTTCTTTTACTGGGAGCCAATGCAGTTCTTTTAATAGTGGAGTGACATTGTCTCATTGTTTAGATCTTGTTATCACTAGTCTCGCGGCCTTGTTTTGAATGACTTGTAAACGATTCTAATATTTGTTGTTCAGATCTGCTTGGGGTGAATTATAATAGTCTAATCTAGATAGGATAAGAGAAAAGTGTGCTCTCTGTATTGTGTGTGCGCACGCGCGTGTGTGTGTGTATTCAAGAAATACAGTTGTTCACATACTTTGTTATTGTTAATATTTCTATTTCTACGTGAACAATGCCTTGGTTTTCGCTGTATGCCGGTCTCCCGTATGGGATAAAAGAGACACATTTTAAGCAAATCGAATTATAATCAAAGACAAGCTGTGGAAAGAAATCGTCATTGTGGTAAAAAAAAAAAGAAAGTAAGTACATGTAGATGCTCGCCCATTCGTTTCTTCTTTAATTTTGGAAGAAAGTAATGAGCTATCCCAAGTTTAAAAACTCTTCACTTCATCCAAAGAAGAAAACATGCTAGAATTTACAACACGACAGTCGTTAACCATGACACTTATTAAAAAGTTAAAGTAAAGCCCAACCTGTCAAAGCTAAGAACAGTCTACACGCGCAGAAAATAATATGAGTCTTTTATTTTTATGTTCTACCCTCGGAAAGATCGGCGCAGAGCGAATAATGTCGCCGATACGGTGGCCTCTCTGTCCTCGCCCTTACGCTCGCCAGATACCTACAGACTTCAACCAACATAAGTTGAGGACCACCTTGACAGACAGTCCTGATTTTTTTTTAATCTGAAAAATAGACCGCAAGGCATGTTTCAAAATTTTTTGCTCCGAAAATGTTCATGCGTGTTGCAAAGCTTCCTAAACTAAATGGGCAAAACCACCACGTGCAGCACGGAAATCCTCGGGGGAATTTTTGCCAAATTTGCTGGGTAAAAAAAAAAAAAATAGATTCTACTTGCGAGGGACACAACGGACACTCGTCGGTTGAAATTTCTGGTGCACGTTATAAACGGACGTACGGTCTCAAACTGCTCACGTTGGTGGCAATATAAGCCGCCGTTGGCAGAAAAATCAGTTTTATCGCATCAACATGCCACCAAGACGAAAGCTGAGAGACTTTGATCGTGCCAGGGCTATGACATGGCTGCAGGATGGTGTTGGAGCCTGAGATGTTGCCAGAAGGCTTGCAGTGTCACACTCTGTCAATGTCCGCTTGAACTTGAAGCAGCGCCATCAAGCCACTGAATCAGTCCAAGAACGTCCACGTGCAGGCCGCAGGCCAACCCAATTTTATCACTCGGAGTGTTTGCAAGTGATCCTTAACTTATGTTGAAGTCTTTATGAGTGAGCAGGAAGCGGCCTGGAGGTTGCCAACCTCTTATAATATTTAGAGATCTGGGATCTTTAGCGGGATCAGATACATTACTTGTATTATTGCATTCCTAAAAGATCCTATAGGTCTACCCAACCACAAGACAATTCACTCCTCTTTTTTAGTTTTAGTAACTAAAAACAGTGTCTTCAAAATTGACAGCGGCGCCACAATCAAATGCGCAGACTTGGTGAATAGTTTTAATCAATGGAATTATTGGAATACATAATATATGTACGTCATGTATGTACAGTATTTAGGAAACATAATATCAGGGTTACACTGCACGATGCTCTTGCTTTTCGAAGTTTTTTGCAATTAAAAAAATCTTATAAATGAGTTTTATACAGGATGAATACAGCAAGTGATGCAGTTGTGGGCGTATTGAATTGCATGCAGTTGATGCAGGCCTGCTTTACTTTAGCCTACGTCATTGTCCGACTCCGTACCCACCAAATTAGGCCATACACTTCTTTTGTCTGAAATTATTTTAAAATTGACATTGACAACTCTGTAATTACATTATTGGTGATAGGCCTACTATAATAAGCACGTATAGTGTGAACATCCTGTAACATTATTTAGATCTCAATTTATCGACGTCACTGTTCATTGCTTTTTCATTTACCTGTAATATTATATATATATAGGGAGTGAAAGGAGCACAGGGACGGAGTACTTGAGGTGTTGATATGTGTCATGACGAAACTGTGGAATCGGGCGCTCTTCATTTTTGAGCATATATATA